CCGCGCCGCAACTCCAGCACCGAGTCAGCCATGCCGTCCGTTCTGTGTCCGCCGCGCGAGAATCTCGCGAGATCCCGTCGCTCCCTCCGCGGCGCTAGGGGCGGCCTGCTGGAGCGGCCTCGGGGGTGGCTGGCGCCCTCTGCTGACGACCTCCGGCAGAACATGAGGTGCCCCAAGGCCTCAGGAGAGGCTATTGCTGGCCTGGGGGCCTCTGTGGTCCCACAGTGGACCCCATTTACATTATGCAAAAGTTCAACCCCGGGCCGGCTGGAGAGGGAAAGCCAGAAACCACCAGGTCTCCTCCGGAAATCCACCTGGGATTTATTTTTCCTTTAGAAAAAGCTCCAAGATTGGCATTTTAAACAAAGTCAGCTTTTTTGCATACCTTTTGTTTGCATGTATTTGTCTTTGGGCTGACCCTGGATAACAAGGCTGAACTATAATGATTCGGTCAGTGTCAGAAAATTGGGAACTGAGAATGGGCATGTCAATTCAAAGCCATATCTCAGTTGACTGAGGCACAGGTAAAGGATTCTAAAGCCTGCTGCTTGTCAGCTCAGTGGTGCACACCCGTACTTCCAGTTTTTGTCTAGGCTAAGGCAGGAGAATCACCTGAGCCCAGGAGTCACAGCCCAGCCTAGACACCACAGCAAGACCCTGTTTCCAACCAAGCGTGGTGGAGTACCCCTGTAATCCTAGGGGCCCCGGAGACTGAGGATCACGAGTTGAGTTCAAAGCCAGCCTCAGCAACTTAGTGAGGCCCTAAGCAACTTAACTATACCTTGTCTCAGAAGAAAAAAAATTAAAGAGCTGGGGATATTGCTCAGTGGTGAAGCGCCCCTGGATTCAATCCCCAGGACCCCCAAACAAAACAAAAGCCCCCAACTCACTGATAGAAGCCCACAGCACTCAGAGAAACTGTGTTCCAGCTTCCCTGGTGCTCAAAATGCTAGTGCTCCCTTTCAGAGCCAGGTGAAGCCACAGGCACCAGAGCAAGGACAAAACCCACATGGTCCAGAGGAGGGGTCACTGGGTGCTGCCTGGTTTGCATCCATGCCCTGGTCCTGCCCAGTTCCTGAGTGGGACCACAGGCCCGGAAAACCAAAAGAAGCACCTTAGCTTCGACAACTGGACTCCAGTCCCACCCCTTTCAGGAGCCTCAACTTGTGAAGTACCTGGGCAACTGCCCTCTCTTCTATTTAAGGCAGGCTTTGGCAGACGCTGCTGCTTGCCATGCTGGGCACAGGGGCACCTGGCCAGTATGTCACCGTGGGTGGCTCACCTGGCAGGCTTGCAACTCTCCATCGCCTGCTGCTGGGCTTTCAGCTGCCACAAGACGTGGTTCTCCCCTGACTTCAGCCTCCCAGGGGATTTCCTCCTTGCAGGCCTATTCCCTCTCCATACTGACTGTCTGCAGGTGAGACGCAGACCCCAGGTGACCCTGTGTGACAGGTAAGTGAAGGACCAGCAGAGCTGTCACTTAGTGTGACCTGTGGCTGCAGGGCCCTTCTACTGGCCTCTGGGCTATTCCTTGAGCTCCCACCCCCAGTCCCTCCCTCCACAGTTGCCACCTCCAAATGCTTCTGCCAGCTTCCATTTTGTGATGGATTAGTTTGTCCTTGCTGTTAGAGTGAGTCCATTCAAGTTTCCTGACTTTTCTCCCCGAGGGAGAAAGGGCTGAGGCAGATGCCCCACACAGGAGCCTCCCTGGGACGGCCATCCAGGTAGAGAATGCTTACTGCTTCTCTCTGAAAGGAGACAGCTGCTTGTGAACTGTCACAGGAGCCTGGGGAATGCCTTTGGTCTCCGCGGGAGGCTTGCACTTGAAACACTCCTGACTGCTGGCCCAGGATGCAGGTTCTGAAATGTGGACCAGATCAGAACCTGCAGGCAGGAGCTAAGAAAAGAAGCCCAGGCTGGGAGAGAGGCTGGGGGAGGACCCCAGGAAACTGGCTTCAGGTAATTGAAGGAGTTTGTGTGCAGGAAACAGTGGGCCTCCTCTGAGGAACTTGGAGTAGAAGGGATGCGAAAGACGGGGGAACCTGCTAGGAGGTCACGATGCTGGAGAGCACAACAGGCCAGCATGCCCTCCAATCAGGGACCAACCACATCCTCAGCTTGTCCCTGTTGTGACAGCAGTTCCCAGAGTAGGGACACAGAGGCTCACAGGCCCTCAGCAGTTTCCTAAGGTCCCAGTGAGAAGCACTAATTAACTAGTTAACCAGGTGAAGTGGGTGTACTGGTTATTTATATATATGCATGCATGTGTGTGTGTGTATTTGTAGATGGACACAATACCTTTATTCTGTTTATTTTTATGTGGTGCTGAGGATTGAACCCAGTGCCTCACATGTACAAAGCAAGCACTCCACCACTGAGCCACAACCCCAGACCCTGTGGTGGTTATTTTTACATGTCCGTTTGTCCAGCCCTGCTGCCCAATGTCAACCTGGGGTATGAGTTGTCTGATGTGTGCTCGGAGTCAGCCAACTTTTATGCCACATTGAACCTGTACTAGTTCAGGTGTTGCTGTGAATATTTTTTGGATGTGATTAACTTTTAAATCAACAGACTGAGTACAGCCAGGAATGGTGTACTCAGTACATGCCTGTAATCCCAGATACTTGGGAGACTGAGGTAGGGGTTGTAAATTCAATTTAGCAAGACCTTATCTCAAAATAAAATTTAAAATAAGGAGGAGAGAGAGATGAAGCTCAGAGGTAGAGCACTTGCCTAGCATGGGCAAGGCCCTGGGTTCCATCCGCACTATGGAAAAGAAAATAAAAAGAGACAGACGACCCTCCAAACCGTAGGTGGACCTCATTTAATCAGTCGAAGACCTTATGAGACTGAGTCTTGGCTATATCCCCAGCCCCTGGCAAAGAAGGGAATTCTGCCTTTGAACTCAAGATTACATTATCAGCTCTTGCCAGAATATCCAACCTGGTGTTTTACCCTACAAATTTCTGGCTCACCATCCCCCATGATCATGAGAGAAGTTCCTTAAAGTGAACCTCTAGTACAGCAGGTTGCTCTGCTGCAGGACTCTGGGCCTTTGATGCTCACATGCTTACCCAAGGTGGTGGGGCAGGCCACATTCTGTAAGTCTGGCCCTGCCTCTCCTCAGGCCTGCCAACACATCCTGAACTGTGTGTGCTGCTGGGCCCGTGCTGAAGTTATATCAGTACAGGCCTGGGCAGATGACCTCAAAGGTTTTCTTTCTTTCTTTTTTGTTCTAGAGATTGAACTCCGGGACACTCAACCACTGAGCCACATCCCCAGTCCTATTTTGTATTTTATTTAGAGGCAGGGTCTCCCTGAGCTGCTTAGGACCTCACTTTTTTGCTGAGGCTGGCTTTGAAATCATGATCCTCCTGCCTCAGCCTCCCGGCTCAGAGTTGTTTTGTACCCCACAAGCCTGGGACGCTAGGAGGCTGGTGGGTCTTAGAGGGACCTTGACCTTCTCAGCTCTCACTCTGCTTTCCCTGCAGGCCTGATAGCTTCAATGGCCATGGCTACCACCTCTTCCAGGCCATGAGGTTTGGTATTGAGGAGATAAACAACTCCACAGCCCTGCTGCCCAATGTCACCCTGGGGTATGAGCTGTATGATGTGTGCTCGGAGTCAGCCAACTTTTATGCCACATTGAACATGCTCTGCCTGCCGGGGACGTACCACATAGAGATCCAAGAAAACCTTTCCCACTACTCCCCCAAGGTGATGGCAATCATCGGGCCTGACAACACCAACTACGCTGTCACCACTGCCGCCATGCTGAGTCCCTTCCTGGTGCCCCTGGTAAGCAAGGTCCTCAGTGGTTGGCAAATCCAACCTGAGCTAGGACAAGTGGGTGGGAGTCGCTGCGCCCTCCAAGGCTAGTCCAGCCCTTGGGGATCTGGGGCTGGTCCCTGTTCTTTAGTCACACTGCAGAGGTCCCCACCTGCCCCAAAGCCCCCTTCCTTCCTCTCCAGGGGATGCTTCCAGATCCCCTGCCTTGGCCCTCTTGAAACCCATTCCCCTTGGGAACCGCTGCCATTTTGACTGCTCCCTCTTGGCTCCCCCGCCACTGCCCTCTCTCCATCCAAAGGCTCCATCTCCTTCAGTGACAGCTGAAAACCTTTCCTTCCTGTGCATAATCTTCACATCCTCCTGGCTCCTGGCCTCTCCTCCTCCTGGCTCAGAGGTGGGGTGCTCCTCCGCTTGTTGGCACCAACTCCTGCTTGGGCCCATCAGTCTCCCACCCTGGGCTGTAGGCATGTGGGGCTCCCTTTGCCCTTCCAGGCTCTTCCTGTTCTTTCCCACTAGAACTCAGGCCCAGAGTGCTGCTCACTTGCTCCGCCCTCTCATTTGCTGCTCACTTGCTCCGCCCTCTCATTTGCTGCTCTGCCTATGGCCCAGAATTCTGCCCCACCACTCTTGTTCTTGCCAGTAGGGAAGGCACCTTCTAGATTTACAAAGCCAACGAGCACCTCTCAGTCCCCTGTGTTCTGACTTGCCCACAGACTCTGCCACTTATGCACTGACGGGTTCCACGTGGAATGCACCTCTCTCCTCACAAGAGACTTTTTTTTTTTTTTGGTACAAGGGATAGAATCCAGAGGTGCTTAACCACTGAGCTACATCCCCAGCCCCCCCCCTTTTTTTTTTAGAGAGAGAGGAGGGAGAGAGAGAGAGAGAGAATTTTTTAATATTTATTTTTTAGTTATCCGCAGACACAACATCTTTGTTTGTGTGTGGTGCTGAGGGTCGAACCCGGGCCGCACGCATGCCAGGCGAGCGCGCTACCGCTTGAGCCACATCCCCAGCCCCCCAGCCCTTTTTTTATATTTTATTTTACTGAGTTGCTAAGTGGCTCACTAAGATGCTAAGCCTGGCTTTGAACTCTCTCAATCCTCCTGCCTCAGCCTCCTGAGCTGCTGGGCGCCACTGCGCCCTGCTCTTCTCTTCTTGTAGCTTCAGCCCTGGCCCTGTAGGTCCCCCCAGGCCAAGATGCTCAGCTGTCCTACCCATTAGTGCTCCTCTGTCCCTGCCCTCCACTTTTCATCCATTGCCTCGGCAGCTCCGTTCTCCCTTTCAAAACTGCCATGCCCAGCCCCCACTCTGCACTGCCCCAGCCTTCCTTCAGACCATGAGGACTCCTCACCTGGTCTTGAGGCTTCTCTAACACTTTTCTCACTGGAATTAGATTTGTTTACCTCAAACACTCTCAAGGTCTCCCCATGGCCTAGAGAATGAAGACCAAGGCCTCAGATCAGGAGTGAAGGCCTCTAGCCAGGCGCAGTGTCACATGCCTGTAATCCCAGCAGCTCGGGAGGCTGAGACAGGAGGATTGTGAGTTCAAAGCCAGCCTTAGTAGTGTTGAGGCGCTAAGCAACTCAGTGAGGCCCTGTCTCTAAATAAAATACAAAATAAGGCTGGGGATGTGGCTCAGTGGTCGAGTGCCCCTAATAAAAAAAATTTAAAAAATAAAAATAAAAGAGTGAAGGCCTCCAGCCCTGCCTCACTCATGAAGAGGACCCCTGGCCAGGCGGAAGCCCTTGTTGATGTCCAGCCACACCACACTGTTCCCCTCCCTGTAGGCAGGGTTCGTTCCCTGAGCTTGGGATGCAGGGCTCCTCCAGCTGGCCCTCCAGGCAGATTCCACTGCTCCCCAGCACCCCACTTCCCAATGGAACCTCCACAGTGGGTTCTCGGACTCATGGGTCAAGCATGGCACTGCTGTTCTCCTTCCTCTTCATGTCCCCACACCCAGCACAGGGCTGGCACTGGGGGACCTCAGTTGAAGTCGCTGCTGATCTCACTGAATGGGACCCCCACAGATCAGCTACGAGGCCAGCAGCATGGTGCTCAGCTCGAAGTGGCAGTACCCCTCTTTTCTGCGTACCATCCCCAGTGACAAGTACCAAGTGGAGATTATGGTGCTGCTGCTACAGAAGTTCGGGTGGGTCTGGATCTCTCTGGTTGGCAGCTACGGTGACTACGGGCAGGGGGGAGTACAGGCACTGGAGGACCTGGCCACAAAGCGGGGCATCTGCATTGCCTTCAAAGGCATCATGTCTTCCTCCGCCCAAGAGGGCGACAAAGAGATGCGGAGCATGATGCGCCACCTGGCCCTAGCCAGGACAACCGTGGTGGTGGTTTTCTCCGGCCGGCAGCTAGCCAGGGTGTTCTTCAAGTCCGTGGTGCTGGCCAAACTGACTGGAAAGGTGTGGATCGCCTCAGAAGCCTGGGCCATCTCCACACACATCACCAACGTGCCTGGGATCCAGGGCATTGGGACAGTGCTGGGCGTGGCCATACAACAGAGGCTTATCCCTGGCTTGAAGGAGTTTGAGGCGGCCTATGCCCGTGCTGACAAGGGAGCCCCCAGGTCCTGTTCTAAGGGCTCCTGGTGCAGCACAAATCAGCTCTGCAGAGAGTGCCAAACTTTCACAGAATACACGATGCCCGAGCTCGGGGCCTTCTCCCTGAGTTCTGCCTACAACGTGTACCGGGCAGTGTATGCGGCAGCCCACGGCCTCCACCAGCTCCTAGGCTGTGCCTCTGGAACCTGTTCCAGGCGCCAAGTCTACCCCTGGCAGGTAAGAGCCCAGCCCCAGGCCCCCTGTGTCAGGGAGAAGAGCCAATCCTGAGACAGAGTAGGCACTCTTGGTCACCCCAAAAGACAGTGACTTGAGGGGTGGTGTTCCCTTAGACAAATCCTCTCCTCTCTGAACCTTGCCTTCTGCAAGGTGCCAAAAAAAAGAAATCTCTGCAAAGGAATCCTTTGCTGGAGGCCTTCTCTGGGAGGGCTGGTGGGAAGGGCTCCAAGGAAGGGACCACAGGTGTTCCGGGGGTAGAATCACCGGGTTGGGAGCCTAAGAGACCCCTGGCACTTGCTTCTGGCAGTCTGTGTCTACGTGGTCTGCCGTAGCTTTACAATCTCTGTTTGCTTTAGCTTTTGGAGCAGATCTACAAGGTGAATTTCCTTTTACATGAGGACACTGTGACATTTGATGACAATGGGGATCTTCTCAGTGGCTATAACATCATTGCTTGGGATTGGATTGGGCCCAATTGGACCTTCAGAGTCATTGGCTCCTTCACATGGTCTCCAGTTCGGCTGGACATAAATAAGACCAATATCCAGTGGCACGGAAAGAACAATCAGGTAATGGAGATGTGGTGGCTCACCAGGTAACTGCTTCATGGGGGCCAGGAGCTTGAAAGTGGCACTTACCCAGGGCAGGAAGCAGACCCCTGGTAGCAGACTGCCATCATTCTACCCAGCCCTGCCAGGGATGCTGGCTTCATATGCTAATGGACAGATGCTCACTGGGATGCCTTAGGTTTACACCACCAGGGGCTCTGCCTAGGAATGATCTCCGAAGGCACAGGCATGGAGATTCTGCCTCTGTCTCACAAGTAAGCTGTCCTTTGACTTGGGCCCCTCCATGTGGCTACAGGACACCTGTGGCTTCTTACAGGTTCCCACATCTGTGTGTACCAGAGACTGTGTTGAAGGGCACCATCGGTTGGTCATGGGTTTCCACCACTGTTGCTTTGAGTGTGTGCCCTGTGAGGCTGGGACCTTCCTCAACAAGAGTGGTGAGTGAACAAAGTGAGTGGGCCAGTGATCAACACTCCCAGGGGCTGTCCAGCAGGTAAAGAACCTCTCCGAGGCCCGTTGTGTACAGTCAGCCCCAGGACAGTCATGGGCTGCCAGTTAGGTGCAGGTTGACAGACACCTGCCTCCGGATTGAATTCTGATCAAACAGACAGAAACAACAGAAGGAAACCTGTAGACCACGGTGTGTCCTCTATCAGAGAGCTCATGTCACATCTGCAGAGGCATCTTATCCTGAGTTCAGCCTCTTCATTCCACCGGATGTAGCTAGTGTTTTCTTTGTACTCTCCCATCCTATTTGTGGGAAGTCCCTTCTGTTGCCCATGCTGAACTCAGCCAGCTCCTAGACACCTGGTAGAATGTCTGCCGTAGGAGAGTGTACCACCCAGTGACACAAAGTGGAGACCAGAGAGCAACTTATGTAGCTAAAGGCTCAGCCCAGAGCTGAACACTAGGGGCCACATTCTTCGCTTTTACTTCTCTGTGGTGATGTGGGGGATGGGACACTATGCCTTCTGTCCCAGAGAATCAGGACTCAGAAATCAGAGCAGAAGCCTAGGAAGTGGATTCATCCAGTGGAAGTGCTGGAAAGAGATGACCACATCCTTCCTTTGGGGTTGGGGGCTTGTACTGGAGCTCAGCCTCACTGGCATGGGGGAAGAGTGACCACTGTAAGGCCCTCTGGGTTTGCAAACCCTTTTTTGGATCATGAGCCACCCAGAACTTATCCATGTTTCTCCAGAGTATGTAACTGACACAGACACTTTGAGGAAACACTTGGCCTCCAGCTGCATTCCAGGCTTTCCTGACACTGCCCCCTTTAATACGCTTTCCGGAGGAAGCTGCTGGGATATAGGTCTCGCAGCATCTTGCGGACCTGCAAGCCTCCTTTTCCCAAACCTACTTTGTTCAACTGGCTCTCAGGAACCACCTTTGTTTTCCCTTCCAGACCTCTACAGATGCCAGCTTTGTGGGAAAGAAGAGTGGGCACCTGAGGGAAGCCAGACCTGCTTCCCACGCACAGTGGTGGTTTTGACTTGGCAGGAACCCATCTCTTGGGTGCTGCTAGCAGCTAATACATTGCTGCTGCTGCTGCTGGTTGGGACTGCTGGCCTATTTGCCTGGCACCTAGATACCCCTGTGGTGAGGTCGGCTGGAGGTAGGCTATGCTTCCTCATGCTGGGCTCCCTGGCAGGAGGTAGCTGCAGTGTCTATGGCTTCTTTGGGGAACCCACGCTGCCCGCGTGCTTGCTGCGCCAGGCACTCTTTTCCCTGGGTTTTGCCATCTTCCTATCCTGCCTGACAGTTCGCTCCTTCCAACTGATCATTATCTTCAAGTTTTCCACCAAGGTGCCCAGGTTCTACCGTGCTTGGGTCCAACGTCATGGTGCTGGCCTGTTTGTGATGATCAGCTCAATGGCCCAGCTGCTCATCTGTTTAATCTGGCTTGTAGTGTGGACGCCACTGCCCACAAGGGAATATCAACGCTTTCCTCAGCTGGTGGTGCTTGAGTGCACAGAGAGCAACTCACTGGGCTTCCTGCTGGCTTTCACCTATAATGGCCTCCTCTCAGTCAGTGCTTTTGCCTGCAGCTATCTGGGCAAGGACTTGCCAGAAAACTACAACGAGGCCAAATGTGTCACCTTCAGCCAACTCCTTAATTTTGTATCCTGGATTACTTTTTTCACCGTGGCCAGCGTCTACCAGGGCAAGTACCTGCTCGTGGTCAATGTGCTGGCCTTTCTGACCTGCCTGAGCAGCGGATTCAGTGGTTACTTCCTCCCCAAGTGCTACGTGATCCTCTTTCGCCCAGACCTCAATAACACAGAGCACTTTCAGGCCTCCATCCAGGACTATACTAGGCGTTGCAGCCCCTCCTGAGCAGCGGGTCAGGCAGAGCCAGCTGGGGCGGGGCGGGGAGGGCTGTCAATCTATCCTGCCCTGAAAGCCGAAGTTGGTCAAGCTGGGTGGAGGGCCTGCAGTGTCCGTGAGACCTTTGGGCGTCTCAGTCTTGGCATGCGATATGTCACCGCACGGGTGAACAGACCCCAGGCTCCGGGCTGCCAATAAAGAGGTGAAATGCGTGTTTACGTCCCCTTGGCGCTTGCTGTCAGGAGAGGGTGGGGCCTCGCTGGTCCTAGTCTGAGCGCCTAGCAGTCCCGGCCAAGCGTGGCGTTGCTAAGCAACTCCGGAAGGTGGGCCCGTCGCTGGAAAACTTGGCTCGGCCACGCCCTCTACGTCCATTGGCGGCTCGCAGAGGCCCCGCCCCCAGGGCCGAGCTGAGAACCCTACATCTCGGAGTCTTTCCACCGGGCCGGCGCGCCCTGACGTCACATCCGGCGCAGCGTCGGCGGCGTCTGCGCCCGGTGGGCAGGGCACGTCGGGCCGGGGCAGTTGGTTCGTGGGCTCTGGAAGGGAAGAGACGGAAGTGGGGCCGGTGCAGCGGGCGCAGGGAGGACCGGTCCGGGTGAGGAGGGCACGGGGCGGGAGGGGGACTGCGGGCCGCCTTAGCCGCCGACGGTAGTGTGGCCGCGGCCGCCTTTCGCGCGCCGCTCGCGACCTGCGGGTGCGGCGTGAGCTCCGCTCACCTGTGCGCGGCCGCCGCCCTCCCCGGCTCGGGGTCCTCTGGCTGAGCCCCGCCGATCTGTTGGCACTCCTCTGCCGCCCCCTTCCTTCAAAATTCGTTATTCCCAGCCGCACCTCTCCACGACCCTGTCCTGTCCCCGCCATGCCCTGCCCGCACCATCCTCTGGCCAATCCAGTATGACCCCCGCTCCCTCGGCCCACGGCTGTCAGTCCCTTCCTGTGCTCCGCGTGCACCCTTTAACCTTGACCTCGGCCCTTTTCCTGATTAGTGTGCGTGAGTAGCGTCCATCCTCCCTTTTCGATCTTGTCAAAACGAGGGGCTTTCTCTTATTCTCGGTTGGGCTGGCCAGGGTGTCACTTCCGCCTTCTTCTCCTTCAGACCATGGACGGCTCCTTCGTTCAGCACAGTGTGAGGGTTCTGCAGGAGCTCAACAAGCAGCGGGAGAAGGGCCAGTACTGCGATGCCACCCTAGACGTGGGGGGCTTGGTGTTCAAGGCACACTGGAGTGTCCTCGCCTGTTGCAGCCACTTCTTCCAGAGCCTCTATGGGGATGGCCCAGGGGGCAGTGTTGTCCTCCCTGCTGGCTTCTCTGGGATCTTTGGCCTCCTGTTGGACTTTTTCTACACTGGTCACCTCGCCCTCACCTCAGGGAACCGGGATCAAGTGCTCCTGGCAGCCAGGGAGTTGCGAGTACCAGAGGCTGTGGAGCTGTGCCAGAGCTTCCAGCCCAAAACTTCAGTGGGACAGGCATCAGGTGGCCAGAGTGGGTTGGAGAAACCTGCCCCTCAGGATGTGAACAGCCACTTCAAGGAGCCAACAGACTTGGAGGAAGAGGAAATTACAAGGACTCTTGGCCTAGTCCCCAGGGATCAGGAGCCTAGAGGCAGTCGCAGCCCCCAGAGGTCCCAGCTCAGCTCCCCTATTCAGAATGAGAGCCCCTCCTTCCTTGCTGGAAAACTCAAGCAGGCTCTGAAGCCTTGTCCCTCAGATGACAAAGAGTCTGAGGACTGCAAAGTGCCCCCAAGGCCCTTTGAGGCTGAAGGTGCCCAGCTGCAGGGCGGGTGTAATGAGGTACTGTGCCCAGGGTGCTGGAACCAGGGAGGCAAAAGTTGGGGAAAAGATGGACAGTTCTGGGGTGCTCTGGACCCCAAAGTAGAATCTCTGTTTTAGTGGAACAGGCTTTCTCTGAACATAGGAAGCCAGTGACCTCAGCTGACCATTCTGTGTCACAGCTGTCTACGATTTCCAACTTCCTTGGGGGTGGAGTGGGCAGCATCAGGGTTATAGGTGTTTGCCTCAAGTAGTGAAATCTGGCCAGGCTTTTAGTGTCTTATAGAAACAGTCACTTCTCCCCATATCCAAGATTCAGATGTCTGCCCTGGGCTCCTGAAGGGACCAATCCCTGATGAAAGGACTCATCTAGGTTGGGGTTTGGGATGGAACTAAAGCTGGGTCCCCACAACCCCTGCTGATTAATTTGGTGACCCCACCCCCTCCTGCTGCCTCTTCTACTCTAGTGGGAAGTGGTGGTTCAAGTTGAGGACGACGGGGATGGCGATTACGTTTCTGAGCCTGAGACTGTGCTGACCAGGAGGAAGTCAAACATAATCAGAAAGCCCTGTGCTGCAGAGCCAGCTCTGGGTACAGGTTCCCTAGCAGCCGAGCCCGCTGAGAACAGAAAAGGTACAGCGGTGCCGGTTGAATGCCCCACATGTCATAAAAAGTTCCTCAGCAAATATTATCTAAAAGTGCACAACAGGTAAACACTGTTTTTCTACTTTTTTTTCCTGTCTGCCATTCCCATGTTGGGGGAGGGGTCCTGTACTTCCCACTTGTGGGCTTTGTAGGGGCTGGGGGCTTTAGCTCAGACTAACATAGTGCCTGGTGTGGGCATACCTCTGTTTATCAGGGTGTGGGAACCTGGTTTGGGTCAGATTTTCCTCCCCCTTCTACTGTGTGTCTTTTGGTTAGAGATGGATTAGTAGACACCTTGTCAATAGGTTGTGCCCACTGTGGACTTTGACCTCCTCCTGGCTTCTGCTGTGGGGAATGGAAAATCCTGTGGACTCTAAGCTGAAACTAGGGCCTGACCTTAGCAATTTCTAAAGCCTGGCAGTGTGGGCTTTGGGCTAGGTGCTCATCTTGAGGATTGGTGCTATTTCCAATTCTGGGGACATTAGCTTTGAGGTATAGAGCATAAAAGACCATTTGTCTAAAGCTGGAGTGTCCAATAAGGTAACCAGCAGTCCCCTGGTCCATTTTTGTTTTTGTTTTATTTTTAATAAGTTGTAGATGGGCACATATCTTTATTTTATTTACTTATTTTGTGCGGTGCTGACGATCGAACCCAGTGCCTCACATGTGCTAGGCAAGCACTCTACAACTGAGCCACAACCCCAGCCCCTGTGAATCCATTTTAATTTAAAATTAGTTAATTCAGTTTCTCAGACACACTACCCCCATCTCAAGTGCTTGGTAGCCGTGTGGCTCCTGGCCGCTAAGCAGACAGCGCAGACATTCCACTGTACTAGAGAGTCCTCTTGCACAGCGCTGCCCTGGAGCGCCTGCAAAGCCTCTGGGGACAGCAGGTAGGTGACAGACTTTCCATTCCTGCCACTCTCCAGCCCAAGACATCACAGTGTGCTTTCTGAGCAAGCCAGGTTGTGTCACATAAGTGTTCTCACTCTGTTACTCTGGGAAGTCACCGGTGATCCTGGAGCTGGAGCTGGATCTGGGGTTGAGAGCTTTTGCTACCCCTGTGCTCGACCTCAGGGTGGTTACCACTAGTGGAGCCTTTGGGTAATCCCAGTGTGTGGGGAACCCTGGGCCTGTGTGTCCTGCCCAGACACTTAGGCTGTCTGCTACTGAAAGATTCCAGTGCAGAACAGTCTCCATTCCTCTTTGTCTCGGGATGTATGTTGCTGGCTGGCCCTGAGAGCTGGGAGGGGAACAGTGCTTTCAGGAGGCCACTGCAGCAGGGCCTGAGGACCGCTGATAGTGTAGCAGGGGATGAGAGAATGGGCCTCTGGCGGGTTGTGAGGTAGCCCATGGGCTCTTCGGTCAGTGTTCATTAGTTCATTCCACAGACTGACAGACAGGGCTGGCATGTAGCTCAGCGGTGGAGCACCTGCCTAGCACAAGGCCCTGGGTTCAATCCCCGGCACTGCCCCCCCCCCAAAAAACCAAATTGCCAGATAGCTGATAAGACTTACGAACACTCAGGATACACCAGTGGACTAAACAGAGGCCATTATTGAGGGCTTACCTTCTTGTAGGACAGTACAGATGAAAGCGTAAAAACCTAATGAGTAAATGTGTAGTGTGACAGTGGGTCCAGGGGCTGGGGTCAGGGTGGGGACAGTTGCTGTCTTAAATAACCATGTCTGGGTGACTTACAGGGAAGGATTTAAAGAGCAAAGATTTAAAGCAGCTAAGGAAGCCATCCATGGGAATAGCATTTGGGCAGGCACAGGAGCCTGCGAGAAGCTCTTGGCTAGGAGTGAGAATGGCAGGTTGGGTGCTGGGAAGGGGTGAAGGGCAAAGGCCTTTCTTGGGGCTGAGTGGGAGACATCACAGCCAGGCTAACAAGGTACGGGGCAGACCAGCTCATGGAGGGCTACTAAGGCCACGTGTCTTTTTTTTTTTTTTTTTTTAGAGAGAGAGAGAGAGAGAGCTGGGGATGTGGCTCAAGTGGTAGCATGCTCGCCTGGCATGCGTGCGGCCTGGGTTCGGTCCTCAGCACCACATACAAAGATGTTGTATCCGCCGAAAACTGAAAAATAAATATTAAAAATTCTCTCTGTCTCTCTCTCTCTCTCTCACCTCTCTCTTAAATATTAAAAAAATTCTCTCTTTTTTTTTTATTTTTTAGTTTTTGGCGGACACAACATCTTTGTTTATAGGTGGTGCTGAGGATCGAACCGGGCTCATGCATGCCAAACAAGCTCGCTACGGCTTGAGCCACATCCCCAGCCCCGAGGCCATTTGTCTTAAAAGGGTTCCTCTGGCTTCTGAATTTAAACTTGCCTGGGAGGATGGTGTGGAGGGGAGGATGTGTGTTAGCTCACGCGGGGCTCAGATCTGCTGTTGGACTGTGTGGTAGCAGCGAGGTGCATGGTCCGATTTTGGCCACAGTTTTGAAGATGGAGCCCACAGAGGCTCTGGGAAGACAAGTATTCCTCCAGGTAGTCAGAACCCAGGGATACTACTGCCTCAGAAAGAAGACTGCTAGCCGTCAGCCTCTGTGGGACCATGTAGGGAGGCTGGCAGAGGTGGGGCTCAGGCTGGTTCCCAGCTGTGACCTCAAGCACAGAGCTCTGTGGGCTTATGGCCTTGGGTGCCTTCTCCTGAGAGCCTCTGTGCTGGAAGGGGATTTTGGGGCTTGTTCTCTGCGTGTTCACCAGCTGGGGTCTCACAGGTCATGTGGTGAGCCATGGCCAGTCCCGGGACACATCTTCATCTCTGCTGTGCAGCTCTCATCAGTGGTGGTCAAAGAGGGCCTCCTGTGAGAGAGAGCTAGGAAACCCTCTCAGCCCCCACACCCCTGTGGCTTCTCCTGGCAGGAAACACACTGGGGAGAAACCCTTTGAGTGTCCCAAATGTGGGAAGTGTTACTTTCGGAAGGAGAACCTCTTGGAGCATGAAGCCCGGAATTGCATGAACCGCTCAGAACAGGTACTTGGGAGCTGACCCAGGTACTTGTGGGCAGGGGCACGCTGGCCCATGTCTTGGTGCTATCTGGGAAGGGCCCAAATAGGAGACCATCTCTGATGATGACTCTAAAAATAGCTGCAGGGTCCTTGGATGTCGTCAGGTCCACACTCTGGTACAAGTAGAATATAGGCCTCCAGGGGAGGAGGGACAACCCCTGAAAGGACATTTTCGGAGGCATTTTGGGTTTACCTGCTGAGGCCCCTGGCCCAGCTCTACCCTCAGTTTTGGAGAAGGATGGCTCCTGGGAAGGCCCTTCCGGCCACCTTGCCCACCCATCCCACAGTTGTCCCCTGTGGATGGGGTCTGGCTAACTGCTACCCTTATCCTCCCAGAGGCCTGTTGGTTGCACCTGAGGCCAGGGACTGTGGGTGAGGTCGTCTGGTCCCTGCACCTAGCCTGTCTGGGCCTGAGGTGGGCAAGCCTTTCTCAGCACATGGTAGTTTGCAGTGCCCAGTGATGGTCAGGGCAGGTGGGTTACATGTTGCCCTCTCCCACCCTAGCATCCCCCACCCTAGGCAGACTCTTCCCAGCAGCAAGTGGAAGCCCCAGCAGAGGCTGCTGTCACAGGCAGAGGCTCCCCCTGATGCTGGCCCTGCTTGCCCCTCACACTGCCAGGTCTTCACATGCTCCGTGTGCCAGGAGACCTTTCGCCGGAGGATGGAGCTGCGGGTGCACATGGTGTCCCACACTGGGGAGATGCCTTACAAGGTCAGGCTCAGTCTGTTCCCAGAGCCGAGGGCCTGGGTGGGGTGGGTGCTGGCCCCAGGATCCTTCCTGCTGAGCCTTTGCCTGGTGCCCTTATCCTCCCAGAGGCCTACCCCTTGACATGGGTTCAGAAGCCTACCTTCTCTCCCCATCCACTGACCTCCATCTGTGGGTGGTGCCCCTGGCTACAGTCTCACCTCCAGGGTCTTTTTGGGCCTGTCTCTCCATAGGGGGCATGACATGGGCAGCTCATGACAGCTTCCTTCCCCTCAAGCCATCTTTCACACCAGATCAGGGACCCTCCTTGATCTTGGACTGGGCCCTGTCCATATCATCCTACCCAAAGGCCAGGGTTCCCTTGGTGCAGGCTGCCCTGGAGTTGACTGTGGGCCTGTTTTCCAGTGTTCCTCCTGCTCCCAGCAGTTCATGCAGAAGAAGGACTTGCAGAGCCACATGATCAAGCTACACGGAGCCCCCAAGCCCCATGCAGTAAGTGTCAAGACAGGGCTGGGCCCAGCAGTCTCTGAGGTGGGATGAGCAGAAGCATGGCAGCTGTGGCCATACAAAGTTGGGGAGCCTGTGGGAATCCTAGGCAGCCCCATGCTGTTCTCACCTGGTCCTGGGCCCCTCTGCCTGTCCCCCTTACCCCACAGTGTCCTACCTGTGCCAAGTGCTTCCTGTCACGGACAGAGCTGCAGCTGCATGAGGCTTTCAAGCACCGTGGGGAGAAGCTATTTGTGTGCGAGGAGTGCGGGCACCGGGCCTCAAGCCGCAACGGACTGCAGATGCATATCAAGGCCAAGCACAGGTGTGGGTCAGCCCATCTTCTCCTGGGGTCTGGCCCTGCTACCTGCAGCTGGGCCAGGAAGGTAGCATTTGCTTACATTCACAGGGATGTGTGTGCTTCTGCCCTGAGTCCAGTGCCTACAGTCTTTCTGGGGTTGGGGACCTGTGGGACAAGCAAGAGCTTGCTAAGGTGCAGGAGCTGGGGAGGGCTTCAGGCCAAGATGAGGCACTGTATCTCTTGGGGCAAATTTTTAGTTTCTTGTGACTCCCTGCTCCATAGACTCCTTTCCTTTCTTTCCTTTTTTTTTTTTTTTTTTTTTTTTTTTGCTGGGGATTGAACCCAGGGCCTTGGGCTTGCAAGACAAGCGCTCTACCAACTGAGCTACACCCCCAGCCCCTTCCATAGACTCCTTTCTGTTGGACAGTGGTGGTGTCCCTTTCCTGTACCACCCAAGCCCTCTTGCTTAGCATATCCTAGCTGGAGCAGGGTGAGGGGGGCCTCTTCCCTCTGTGATGGCCTTGCCTTGTCTCCCTACCCAAACAGGAATGAGCGGCCATATGTCTGCGAGCTCTGCAGCCACGCCTTCACTCAGAAGGCCAACCTCAACATGCACCTGCGTACGCACACGGGCGAGAAGCCCTTCCAGTGCCATCTGTGTGGCAAGACCTTCCGCACCCAAGGTGAGGCAGGCCCATCACCTCCTTGTCTTGGGGCTAAGGCCAGTGCTGAGCCCCTGCCTTGTCCCCACAGCCAGCCTGGACAAGCACAACCGCACCCACACAGGTGAGAGGCCTTTCAGCTGTGAGTTCTGTGAGCAGCGCTTCACGGAGAAGGGGCCCCTCCTGAGGCACGTGGCCAGCCGCCACCAGGAGGGCCGGCCCCACTTCTGCCAGATCTGTGGCAAGACCTTCAAAGGTACTTGGGGGTGCCCAAGGCTGGGCCATCTGTTTCTTGCTGACCCAAGTGGGAGGGTGTCCATAGAGGTGGGGGGCGACAGAGGCCTAGCGACGCTCCTCAGCTGCTGAGCCTCCCTGCCAGCAGACATTTTCTGTCTTCGAGTGCCTACCAGGGCGAGTGGAGCTGCTGACAGTGCAGGTGGGGCTGGGCTCCCCAGGGGCCTGGTCAGTTGTGACCTCAAGGAGGTGTTGTAGAGCCTGGCGGGGCCTGGCCCCAAGTAGTGGGGGGACCTTTGCCCAGGGCCTCCTGCTGGGTTTCCTCCTGGGCCCTGGATTCCTGGCCTGCAATCTCAGGCATATCTCTGCCATGTTTCCCGGCTCCTGATACCTGTGGCCCCGTCACTCCTGCAGCCGTGGAGCAGTTACGCGTGCACGTCAGAAGGCACAAGGGAGTGAGGAAGTTCGAGTGCACTGAATGTGGCTACAAGTTCACCCGGCAGGTAGGTGGCAGGGGCGCCCAGGGTCACCTCTCCCCCCAGGCTCTGCCCCCATCCCTGAGCTCTCACTCCCCACAGGCCCACCTGCGCAGGCACATGGAAATCCACGATCGGGTGGAGAACTACAATCCACGGCAGCGCAAGCTCCGAAACCTGGTCATTGAGGATGAGAAGATGGTGGTGGTGGCCCTCCAGCCACCTGCAGAGCTGGAAGTGGGCTCGGCTGAGGTCATCGTGGAGTCGCTGGCCCAGGGCAGCCTGGCCTCCCAGCTCCCTGGCCAGAGACTGTGTGCAGAGGAGAGCTTTGCTGGCCCCGGTGTCCTGGAGCCCTCACTCATCATCACAGCTGCTGTTCCAGAGGACTGTGACACGTAGCCCACCCTGTCTGCTTGTTCCCAGCCAATAAACCACGTGGCTTTGGACTGGATTGTTTTGGCCTGCCCAACTGTCTGTTTCCTGATGCCCTGGAGACAGTCAATGCTGCTTTCTTCACCTGTGCCGCTGCCAGTGCCCTGTCCCGTCCTCTGGACTTACAGCTTCCTCAGCTCCTCAGCTGAACAGGACATCATGGGGGCAGCCTTAGGTGCCAAACCCTGGGACTCGGTTTTTCCCACATCTGTCTTCTGTCCTTTATTTTTATTTTTTTATCCTGCCCTCTGTTCTTTCAGGATTTTAGAGCTGGTGGCATTGGCCAGAGTTGGTAGAGTTCCTGTTTTAGGGGTGACATCAGGTAGAATTCATTCCTAAACTTCTGTGGAGTAGTGGCCCATGATGACGGCCTCACTGGCTGGAGCCAAGATACTGGCCCAATTCAGGAGTATGCGAGCTTGCCTGGGGACCCGAGGAAGGCCAGGCTCCTGGCTCAGCAGGCTCAGGCTGGCTGGCAGCACACCAGGCTAGGAGGGCCCTAGCTTGGTCTAGGAGGCCTGGGTTATAAAGAGGCCAGGTTCTGTGGCCATGGGGTGCCGAGAGCCATGGAGGACAAGCCCTCAGGTGCTCACGTAGATTGCAGGTGTTAAGTTTCTTCCCAACTCCTTTTTATAGCCCCATGACCCTGGGCAAGTTATTGCTTCGTCTCCATCTTTTAATGGGATTAGTATCACGCTACATACTTCACAGAGGATCAAATGAGAGCTCAGTGGATAATAAACCACTGCAGAATGTACCTGGGGGCTAGGGGATCTGCTTTCGAGATGTCTCACAGAGGTGCAGATGGGCTGGGTCCTCTCCACTGGCCACTTGGGCTATCACACAGCCTGATGGCTGGGTGCCAAAAACATACATCCCAAAGGCCAAGGCCACAGGGTCCTTCATGCTCTAGCACTGGAAGTCACATGGCTTCACCTGTGTTCATTCTGTTGGTTAAGGCAGTCACCAGTCTGCTCCAAGACTGAAGAGGAGGGGACATGTACTCCCTGGCCACTTACAGGACGGGTGTCAAACAATCTGTGGACACCTTTATAAACTGCCCCACCTACAGAATAGTCCGAATCAGAGGTCACTGGTTCAAATGCTCGTGACCTCAGTGACCAGAGGTGGGCACTGCTGAAATCCCATCACAGGAAGATTCCTGGAACACAATCCTCTGAGAGCCGGAGACTAGGGAAATGAGGTGCTGGGTTAGAACTCGGCAGTAGAGCGCTTTCCTGGCACATGTGAGGCACTGGGGTTGATCCTCAGTGCCACGTAAACATAAAATAGGCTTCAAAAAAATATGGGGTTGGGGTTGTGGCTCAGTGGTAGAGCACTTGCTTCACATGTCTTAGGCACTGGGATTGATTTTCAGAATCACATATAAATGAATACAATAAAAGGTACATCAACAGCTAAAAAACATTTACAAAAAAAGTTTTAGATTCAAGACCCGGCTACCTTTATTTCTATTTTTGTACTTGGGATTGAATCCAGGGGCACTTTACCACTGACCTACATCCCAGGTCTCTTATGGCCTTGATATATTGCTGAGGTTGATCTTCAACCTGTGGTTCTCCTGCCTCAGCCTCATAGGCATGTGCCACTGTACTTGGCCCACTTCCCTTTTATTCCTCGACCATTGGGACCTCAAAAGTAATAAAGATAGTATTCAAGTGTAGTAATTACACTCCAGGTCTGCCTCTTTCCTATGTAGGTTATAGACCGCTTCACATCTGTCCTGGAAAGGGGTGTGTTGGTGCACACCTGTAATCCTAGCAACTCGGGGAACTGAGGCAGGAGGATTTCAAGTTTGAGGCCATCTTGGGCGGTTTAGTGAGATTCTATTTCCAAAAGGGCTGGAAAATAATAAATAAGCAAACAAATAAATAAATAAATAAATAAAAAGGGCTGGGGATAGAGCGCAGTGGTGGAGCGCTGGCCTGACGTGTGTGAGGGCCTCTATTTTAAGGCTTCTGTCTTCCCAGGCCAAGTTATCCTGCAGACAGGAACCGCCATTCTGCACTACCCAGGAGGGCGGAAGAGCTTTGGAACAGGAGGTGGCCAGTCCTGGAGATCAGAGATGAGCTGCCCCTGCCCCCTGCCTTTCTTTGGCTTGATCTCCTATGAACTGAAGTGGGAAGGGCCGGGAAGGCTCTGTAAAGGGCAGCCACCCCTCAGACCCCTGGCACTGGGACTCTCCCTCTGCTCCTGCTCTCTGCACTGCTGGCTTCAGTCCAGAGGTTCCCCAGAGCAAGATAAAGGCAATGACGCACCAAACATAGGAAACAGTTTATTTCAAAAAGTATCGAAGGCATCCTAAAACCTTAGACAGGTTTCTCAACATTCATAAGCCTAGAGAACAGACAAAAATAAATAGCAAATTGTTCCCACCCCTGGAGCAGGACTGGAAGGAGGGTGTTCCTTACTGTGAGTCTCTGAGTCATATAAATATAGAATATGTTCTAGATCAGCATTAAATACTAGTCACTTTACTTTTCATAACTTAATGTCTTATAGACAGAAAGGTTCTATACATGTAACACATGGGGACAGCCCCAGAGCCAGGTGTCCCAGCCTCTGTCCCAAAGTCTGTCTAGAGACCTCTGGTGGGGACCACCCAGCCAAGAACCGTGACAAAGGGAAAGCAGGTACAGAGGGTCTGGTGCTGGACCCCAGCTGGGTCCACGGGTGGGAGGGGCCTGCTCCTCGTCACCACTCTTGGTCTTTCTCAGCCCACACTCCTGATGGTGGACACCTGGGTATCTCTGGACCAGGCAGGAGAGGCACACAGACCAAGCCCCCTGTCTCCTGCACAGGCGCCCCAGACAACGGGGTAAGCCAGCCACCATGAAGCAGCAGTGAGCAGGAGTCGAGAGCTCTTCCTTGAAGGCTCCATCCCAGAAGATGGCTTGCGGCAGGAGTGGCCGTGTCTCCAGGCAGAGTGGACTGGGCACACTCTGGCACTGAGTACGTACTCGGGGCCTTCTCTGCTGACAGACAAGCCACCTCACATGGGAAGGACTGCCCTTCAGCAGCCCCAGGGAAGCCAGGCGAGGGCCAGGGGGAGACAGCTCTAGAGCGGAGGAGGGGGGAGCTCAGTGAGGGAGTCACTTGGCTGGGGAAGAGGAGGCCAAGGCACGAAGCCAGCACAGAGCTTCAGGGGTGTGCTGCCTGCCTGGCAAGTGCTCAGTAATGACTGGTGGTGGCTTGCCATGGTCAGGAAGAGCTCTGAGCTGTGGCCACTCCAGCCAGGGGATTCCAGAACATAGCTTTCTAACCCAACATGAGGGCACCTGCAGCACGTGACACCGAACAAGGGAACAGGCAGGCCAGGCCAGACAGGGACTTCCCAGAAGCCCTGCCACCTGGCCAGCAAATGGTCTTTGGTACCACTCGCTAAGAGACGGTGCCAAGGCTGTTCCTGGCAGGAACCTGCTGCCCAGCCAGGCCACCAGGGAAAGGCAGCCCTGGAGCCTTGCTTCCTTCCACCTCCTGAGGGAGAGTCTTGATCCCCTTCCTACAAAGGGAGGGGAGTGACAGACCCAAGCACAGGCCACGGGGGCTACCTGAAGGGGCTCAATCCCCCAGTCCATGGAAACATATCACTTCCAGCAGGAAAACGGGGCTCCCCAAGCTCTGGTGTTTCAGGAGCTCCTCAGGGGTCCAGGCGGCCCCCATTCCTGCAGAAGTTCTGGAAAAAAATCCAAACAAAACTCACCAGGGACTGGGTCCATGGCTCAGTGGCAGAATACTTGCCCAGCATGCAACCCCCACCCCAAAACAAACCCTGACCTTGTCTCTCCAATACCCGCCTCCCACTGCTTTTAACGGTCACACTGCATTTCAAACTTGGAACCAACGGCCGAGGCCACGGTACCCAGGGCTTCCTTAGAAGCAAAAGGACCTGACTCAGGGCGAGCCAGGGCTTTGCAGCTGTCCATTCGGCCAGTGTCAACAACAGAGGCCCAGGGCCTCCCAGCAAGGAGCTACAACCTCGAGTTGGGGGCTTCAGTCCACTTCTCCAGTCTCCCCTCCGCCAGCCAGGACAAAGCCCTGGAGGAGGACACACAGGCCACTGGAGCAGGGAGACCCCGCGTCTGTCCCACTGTATCCTTGGGAACAGCTCAGTGTGCTGCTCTGGACCCCTCTGGGCTCCTACTCTGACTCAGTCCCCAGACCCTGTGCTCACCTGGAGGCAGCCACCTCCACTCTGGTGTGAGATCCCAGTAGGGCGAGGAGCAGACCCCCTCTATCTGGGGACTGGCCCACTGGGACGCCCAGCACCGGTCAGAGTGTGGGACCCTACTACAACCATCGTCTCCTGGTTTCTCATGCTACAGGCCCAGATAGGGCCTGCAGGAAGGCAGGGGCCATTCCCAGACCCTCACAGGAAGCCCCCTGGCCCTGTGCTCCCAGGGTGGGAGAAGCGGTGCAGGGAGTGTGTGGGCCGCACGGGTGAGTCGGAAGCCACGGGGTAGGGATGACCTCTGGGAGCCACAGGTGTGCCAGCAGGGTTCTTCCTGGACCATGGGAGGGGCATTCATGTCAGGCCTTGGCCCCGGCAGCCGTGACCTGGGTTCCAAGTGCACAGAAATCCTCCAGACAATGGATCCTGGCTTCAGTCAGTGCTCAAGAGCCCGTGCTCTGCCTGGTGAGACCACCCTGACTTGGGCACAAAGGAGGGGCTGCTACCCCTGCGAGGTGCTGGGTTCCCTGCACCAAGGCCCTCCCGGGCCAGGCCAGGGCTAGTGCAGTTCTTCAGGGTTCCGCAGTGGCCGAAATCGGCCCGCATCCACGACATTGCTGCCACTGTCCAGGTCAAAGCCGCGCCCACCCAAAGGCGTCTGGGGCATGAATTGGCGGAAGATGCTGACGCTGCCATGCCAGAAGGTGGGCTCCGGGAGCCGGCCCACCACACTCCACGCCCGAGCCTCTGGGTCATAGGCCTCCACCACGTCCGAGAGCTCAAATGTGTTGTCATATCCCCCGGACACGTACAGCTTCCCTCCCAGG